CCATTACACAGGCATTGTCTTCCCGCACGATCACCGAAGTGTTGGGGGGCAATGACTCAAATATTAATGAGGAACAAGGTCATTGCGAGGACAAGCGCAGTCATGATGGAAAAGAAAGATGGAAAACCAGAGCAGAGGGTTATAAAAAGACATTGATGGTGTGTTATGTTTGGGATCTGCAGATATTGTAGGGGTTCATAACACTAAAGCTATGATGAAGATCACAACAGCAGCTGTCCACTTCTGGCGTCAGCGTGATCAAAGGACAGACAGAGGAGTTTGAACACTATGGGCCGTGAGAATACACTTCTGTTCTGTTCTAGGTGATGCTGAAACACATGTCCGCTTGTCACAAATGATCTCAGAAAAAAGGTCGCCGTGAACTTCTGATGGTTTTCTATAAAGTATCTTGATACACTTTGAACTCTTGCACATTTTGTCAAGTTATAGTCAGAAACATCAAGATTTTATTTTCAATATTTTTCTGAAATACCAAAACAAAGTAAAAGACAACTGTGAAAGAACAATAATACATGATGTTGTTCATTTAAAAAAATGCATCGGATTTTAGCGCTTTTTTGGACACTCAAAGACGCTTTACATGTCATTATACTTATACATTAAATTATTATACTATCACTTCATACTCCATAAAAACTACTACTGTAGCCACAGCTGCCCTGGGGCACACTGACAGAAGCCAGGCAACCAGTATGTGCCATTGGCCCCTCCGACCACCACCAATCATTCACACACACACCAGATTCATTCTAGGCAATGGGGGTGAAGTGTCTTGCCTAAGGACGCAACGGCAGTTTGGCACTTTACAGCCGCCCAACTGTGGCTGGTGTTCCCAGAGGTTAAGCGTCTTGCCCAATTACACAACGACAGCAGACAGTGGGAGTCGATGGTGAAAGTCCTAAGGTGGGCTCGTCCACGACCTTCTGGCTCAAAGCCCAATGCTCTACCAACTGACCTACTGTCGCCTCAAATTTAATTTATCATACAGTACATACTATGTGGAATCTTCCAAGATTGACCTGTATTTTGCTCCATCCACCCTCCCATCATCTCTGACCATCTTCCCTGTCCCCACAGCATGATCCTGCCACCCCCATAGCAGACACTGGGGATGGTGCACTGAGGATGATGAGCAGTGTAGAGCCATTTGTGTATATGGATCGAAACTAACACTGCTCATCTGGGTACAAATTCCTTGACTTCACAGCTGTCTCATACTTGGTGGTGGTCTTTCAGTGAAACATTTCAGTGAAAGAGTTCAAAGTATATTCATACTTCTGCAATGCACTGTATCTCTAGCCACCTCGAAGCTAAACAGTGCAGGGCTTTGTACTGGGACAGGGGACTGCTGGGAATACTTAACATGACATATTCACTTAAGTGTCTGGTGAAGAAAGAACTATACACTTTGGATGAATTATGGATAAAAATATTAAATGTATGTCTTGTTTCCCCATATAGTGAGTCTGTTGTGTAGATGGATGGATGGATCTTTTAGAACGTGGGATTGGTTTAATGAATTATAAAGCATTCTGTCTTACATTATTAGTATGAAAAATGCTATATACAGTTTGATTGCTTATGTATGGGAAGTTTGCACACTTCTGTCTTTTGCACAATCTGAGTGATCCTATCTATGCCAAAGTGACATATCTCCAGTGTGAGATCAATAACGTCTTTTGTCATTGGAATGTTTTTAGATTTTGTCCATGTGATTTTGTCAGGATTGACTGTAAATTTCAGCATAAACATCTATCTTATATTATGTATTTGAGCTTTGACCATTACATCATGCCACTATAAATGATGTTCCTCGAAAATACAGACATACCTACAGATCACCCATTTTAAAAAATGTTTTATCATTATTTAGGCTAAGTGCATTAACATTGTTTTTTAAAAATTAACTATTAAAACTGGAGCGTTATTCAATTTTTTCAGTATTTCCGTTGCAACAATAGTCTTGTAAAAGCATGAAAAATGGCAGTAAGAAAATATGCCATCTTTTGACCCTTGATCTGATGCTTTGGGCTGAGAGCTGATAGGATCCCCTTCACTCAGCCAATCTTTTGCACTGCTCTGAAGATGTGACAAAAACCAAAAATACATAAATGTGATAAAACCCAAACATTTTGAGAACAGAGAACTAGTCAAATTAAATAACTTTTTTGTGCTGTGAAAGTTAGGTACTCCATCTTGAAAGCAGTATGTGTGTAAATGCGATATCATGAAGTCAATGTTGTTAAAGGTCAACAACGCTGCATGAACAATAATGAAACGTATCAGAATGAAGCAGGCCTCAGAACAAAACGTTATGATGACGAGGACTTGTAGGAGCCAAAATGTACCTTCCCCTAGCCACAAGTTTGCGCTGTGGGCGTTATAAGACCTAAGCACATTCTCCTATAAAAAAAGGGCAGAATTTTGGGGGCACAGGTGCTGCTAGGTTTGGAGCTAAACCGTTTCTAATGCTGCTTTCAGACCCCCGACACTGAAACGCTGAAGCCTCCCTCACCAGACGCACATTCTCTAGTTTTCAGACGCAGGGGTCTTAAGACCAGAAGTCCTGGCGTGCGTCGGTAGTGGCGGAAGTAGCCAGCGGGCTTTGATGCTAACAGAGTTTAGCTAGCGGCTTCTTGTGTAAAAGCTTTGCGGCGTGTCTGTGTCCAGAGACCTTCCAGAGACTTTATATAACAGTAGTATGTGTTCAAGGAGGTGCGCGATAAGTTTATTTTATTCTTAAACGGTACTTCCGCATCAGCGAACACACTTGAAGCAGTTGCATAAAGTCACGGGAGCATGAAAACTTACATGTTAACAAGCACCATGTCCCCCATTGTCAACCCTGGTTTAGTCTCAATGTAGCTCCTGTTTTGGCTGCTTACGAGTATTTTCAGTCTGCTCGCTCATACCGCTAATGGCCGTGACCACTTTGTGGCTCTCTGATTGGTTGCTGCACAAGCATCCCAAGGGAAGGTTGAGCAAAATTCATCTCCTGCGTGCGTCGATGTTCCGCTCCTGCTCCTCCCCTTCGACTTTCCCGCGCAGTCCGTGCAGCTCTACTGAGAAGTCCGTGCGTGCATTTCGAGACACTTGTGCGCTTTGACGCTTAAACGCGCATCACCATTGACTTTGTATTGAAAGCCGACGCAACGCATGATCCGGTCTGAACGCGGCATTACCATGTCAATCACTTGTGGAATGTTTTATGATTGTGGGGATTACTGGTCATAAGGGCCAATGAAGAAACCTCTAATACACTATTTGGACTGTGGTTTGTGGAGACACGCGTTTGGTAAACACTTAAAATCTTAGCAGCCAAGAGGCGATCTATAGGCAATCTTTGCCTCTACAATGACAATGATTGGTTAACTGTTTCTTTCAGCTATTCTCATTTTCTAACAAACTAAATGGATCTTATTGGTTCCTTGTTCTGTTAACATTGACAAGCTGTAGTCACCGGGCATGTGAGAGTTGAAATGATAAACAAGCACAACACACAGCTCAATTAAAGACGAGGTACCCGACTTTTTGTTTCATGAATAATACATGTTTTTGAACCTTATAGAAAGAACAAATCAGGCCACAATGTGCAGTCTTCATCTTATTAGAAATCCTGTCGTCTTTTGCAACTTGTAAGAATATAGCCCTGTGGATCAACATATGACTCTTTTGGCTGAGAGCTGATTCACTGACCAAGAGAAGGTGACTTTTATGTTAGAAAAAAATTGCTCTGATGCTGTGCTTGAGGCAAAAAAACAGTTATTTGACAAGCTGAGGAATATGAACAAACTAGATTTAGTATCAATCATGTACTTTACAGTTTGGACGTTGAAATTCTTGCTCCACGGACTGAAAGAATTCCATGTAGCTTATCGAGGTGACTGACAAAATGCTACAGTAATAAACATCATCCAACGTTGCTTCGACTTTTCTTTAGGTAGTCGGACTGAGAGCAAAGACATGGAGTTGGCAAGGTGGTGTACAGTAGCCTTAAATAACAGCCGACACATTTCCTCTCATTCTGATTGACTTTTTGACCTTCAAACTGTGTTCATGAGTACATAATCTGGGATGTTCGATTAAGGAATTGGTTTTTTGATACTTGAGTTGTAATATTGAATGAGAAAATGTAAAGCTTTACTGCAGATACAATTGTGTTCGATTTTAAAATGTAGACAGAAAATGTATAATAAAACATTAGAAAATTATATTAGAATCAAGCAGATTGGAAAACCAAACAATAATAGAATAGTCATTGGTCCAAAAAGATGACCAGATTTACTGTTGCTCAGGTATTTGAGAATATGGATAGATCCCAGAGCATCCTTTGTCCTCAGACTCTCCTTCACAATTTGTTTTTCTGTTGTCACATAGATTGTTGGGTGCATGGGCTTTTATGTCATAAATTTGATCATTAGAGATCAAATATAGCATTATGTGATGTAAAGTTGTGTCAGCTGTTATGGCTGAAACATAAGCATCTTCCCATTGGGTCCCATTTGGAACCTGTTGAGCCCAATGTCAGTGCGTTGATAAAGGCTGCCCTTGTGGCTAAAGTCAGTCAATAGTGATGGTTGAACAGGGTACTGCTGGGAATACTGCTGCCAGTCACTAGGGTAGATCAATAGTGGACTGCCATGGGGAATCCCCAGAGTCATTTGACTTTATGTAAATACATGATAACATCTGACCAGATACGTTCGTGTCGGCATAAAGCGGAAAAAGGAATATTTGTTTAGAACCATCCAGGCTTCCTTTAGCGACACGGTGTCATTGGGCTGTGCATTCCTTTCATGTCACGAATGTTTCAGTGATGCACAGAAGGTAAAGCTGTTCAGACAGAACTGCATCACAGCAGAAAAGCATGCGCAGGGCAATCCTCGGCTTTCCCCATGAAATCCACGGGGGACGCGGGGAGGCAGAGGGGGGACGTGGTACATGCGTACAGTGTGGGGAGACACTCGGATGGGGCTTACCTGTGACGGCCACATTTGCAGCATTAGACGAATGGCTGGGTAGATCATTCGAGTAAGTGCACTCCAAGCCCAGTACCGCATAGATGACGAGTCCACGTAGCAGTATGTTCACCACCGTGTGGATGTAACTCATGATGGAAAAAGAGAACACAAATCTAGAAAAATCCAATCCGTGAGGTGAGAAGATGGGTGAGAAACAGCCTCCGGGCACCACGAACGAGATGTGAGTGTGTCAGTGTTCTCAACAAGTCAGAAAGGTTTAGTTGGACAAAGATTATGAAATACTAGCGAACAAATAATGCAGCAATTTAAAAACGCAGTAACTAACATCAGCCTAGAAACAAATCTTGGCACAAAACCGCACAGGAGCGTGGAAGATCCCTACGAAATAATAGTTCATCGTGGGTCACTGCCAAGGCGAACTAGTTTGAAAGAAGACCCCCGTATGTAAACTATTAGCCCTTAATCGCATAGCAGGCTGTTTGAAAGGGGCGCCTGCTGCTAGCTATGACGACCAGTGCCCCCATATCGCCTGTCAACAATGTTAGAAATAAGAAACGATATAGAAAAATACACAGAGGGAAACACAGGCTGCGTGTGATAAATGCAGACTGCGTGGCGAACAGGCGAATGCAGCCCTGTGTGGAGGAATCCCCTATCCAAAACAAAACAAAAATGAAAAAAAAATAGGCACAAAAATCCCTTGGTGCGCTTGGAAACTGAACAAGTGCGCGGGGTAATCCTTACGTAGGCCTGTTTGTTGGCTGGGAACTGTCCTTGTACTTCCAAGTACAGTATACAAACACACACCACAGCCTCAGCATATTGAAGAAGTGTCTCCACGGTCCGCCTCCTCTTCACATGATAGTTACAAATCCAGTTGCTTGACGAAAGAAAGAAAGAAAGAAAGACGAAGGGGTGACAAAAATGCGTCTTCCACAGTTGCCTCCTAATCCGTGTGCGACCTACATGAGTCAGACGGCGCATATACTTTCTAAATGAAGTTTGGAGAGAGGGGCAGCAGCTCGGGGTGATACAGGATCCTCATGTCGCGTATCAGCTGCTCGGCTCCCGGCTGATGCGCACTGGCTGGAGAAGGAAATCTACCGGGGGCGGAAGTGAGAAAGGCTTTTGACTTCGGAAAGGGGGGGATGCCAGACTCGCCGTGGCCATCACAGTCTGTGCCCCGACTTTCCCACTGGGTTTTTTGTTGTGTCATGCTTCCAGGGGGCGACTCGTACACGTACACCGGTGGAGCATGCTGATCGATTGCGTTCCCTCCAGTTACGGGCGTCACGCAGGCTACGCTTTTACGCACGGGCCAGAAACGCCACACTGTTGCGCATCAGAGCGCACACAAGCAATTTTAGGAGTATATTTCACTTTATGGCGAGGCACATGTATGTTTATTGTTGTCTGAGTCTCCCTCTGCCTCTGGAATACGTCCTAGTTTCTCCCCAAACCGCACGGTGGGATTGGTCAGCCCGTCCCAACATGGCACTGCCTGATTGGTGGAAGGATGCGTCGCTCACTTTGAGTTTAAAAAGCCGAACCCGCGAGAAATGACATCGCACTCTGCGTCTTACGTCGTTACAACCAGGTTTTTTTTACAACCTTATTATAGCGGTCTATGATTCAAACGCGATCGAAACGTGTTGTCGTCATAACTTGCAAGTCAAAATGGTGGGCCTAATAATATAACTTTAATTTCAAAAATAAAGTAAGGGTGCCCAAAATGCCCAACATGTGATTAATAAAAAAAAAACATGCATTATGATTAGAATACCGTTACTTCTGGTGCAGAAAAAAAAGTCGGCTTACCCCATATTATAAATAAAATATACAATGTCTTATGGAATACATTATTTGCACCATAAAATTGACTTAAATTGAAAGCCTCGACTCTTTGGGTGTCAGATGTTTAGGGAAAAGTCAAAAACACACAATTTACTGTATTTACACAACTCGTTTCCCGAGGTGTACAGAGTAAACCCTTAAAGTGATTCAGTGACTGTGTCTTACACAACACAAAGGCTATTTATGGAGAATGATAACATTACAATTGATGAGAATAATGACAAATATTTTTAAGTAATTATAGTGACCGCAGGAAAAGTGATAATAAATAACGATGTTAGGTGGTAATAAGTATTAAAAGATAGTAGAGAACCTATATCCCATATCTCAATGGAAAGAAATTATGTGTATTTTTTTTCATTTGTTTGTAGGTTGTTTGTAAGTTTATGAAACAGATGTATCATAATTCTGGTAATGCAGGACAGATAATAGATAGAAAAAGTGGAGCATGCACTGCATTATACAAACTATTGTCCCTGGTCTAACTTTTTAGAACATTCTTCACTTGAGCCACTTTTAAGAGACAGGCGATAAAACTATATTTTTCCTGCTGTCCTAACTACCGCTATATTTGGTGCTAGTGTTCACACTGAACACGCCTCAGCAAAAAGACTACCTTGCAAAGCAGGTTAAATAGAGATTTTGGGTGAAATTCCTGTTCTCATTGGGAATGAGACTAGTGATGAGTGTCTTCATGGTACCTGAGCCAAGGCACTCTGCAATGACACTCAGACCCACCAGGAGTTCTGCCACAGAGCCTATGAGCAGCTTCAGATGTAACTGGAGGACGACGTCTCCTGAAACCAGCGGAGCTGAGGCTGATAAAACAGTCAGCTGAGGGAGTGCTACTAAACAGGTGGCACATGTTGCAGCCACTGTGCGAGAAGGAAAGGACTAGCAGAATTGGATATGTGCTCAGAGACGCAGCAGAGAGAGAAACAGCAGATGCTCAGAGTAGGAGGAAGGCCACAAGTGCAGGAGCTGCATGTCTCCAAGTGTAGATATCTGTTACTTACCCAAACTGCTGTCCCTACAAACGCCTGCGAAGGTTAGCATCCAGCAAGCAGCACGCCCTGTCAAAATATTTACCCAGTCACACAAAACCCACAGATTCCAGTAAGTGACACAGAAGAAAGCAGGTCAAATAAGTGGGGGTGTGACCCACCTGTGGGCACCAAGAAACATCTTTATTTGAAATGTGTGTTTTGGCAGAACACAGGAGTGAGGAAGAATCATACTGTCAATGGTGGGTAAATGTAAACAGTGTATGGGTATAAAAAATACATGTTTTAAAGAATACATTATATGGTAGTTATTATGTAGGCATTTGTGAATAAATTATACAATACAAACATTTTAAGCATGTAGAGTTGCAAATAATTTGGACAAACATGTTTTAAAAAAGCATTCTAATTACATTAGTACAATTACTTACATTGTATGAGCAGTAAGGTCATAACAAACATGGCTGAGAATAAGTATTATTTGTACAATTAAATAAGAAAAGGTTATTTGAAAGTCACTGGAGTATGCAGTGGAACCATAGCCTCGTCATGCATGGAAGCCTCTCATTTTTGGAGCAGAAGCGTAATCTATTATCAAGCAGAAGATATTTGGATCAATACTCAGCGTTAATTAAACATAACATTTGTCCTCTAACGCGCTGCCATTACAATTACTGCTCCCTGCAATGTGCTAATGAGGCTCTCAGCTGATGCGAGCGCCACGGTGCCTATCGGCTTTCCTGCGCAGCATATGGCTCGTAGCAGTCCGCTCACTCAAGTGGCTAAACTTACAGGCTGTATAATATCTAATGACACAAGACTGGCTATTCTATATATATACATATCAAATGAAATAAATGAGACATGGATTTCTCCAAGGCATGTTAATGTGTGGGTATCCTTCATAAGTCTTCATAATCCCATGATACTCCATTTATTACGGACAGATAAGAGGTATACAAGTGTGTTAAAGGTGTGGCAATTGACATTTTGAAGTGTCTCCTCTCTTCTCCAGGTGGTATGCACTATGCAGAGTACGTACCACAACTCATAAACCATGGTCCTCAGATTGCAGTAGCAAATAGAAAGATCTGGATGAGTGGCATGACCTTCAGCGTGGAAAGATCAGCGAGGACAGCCTGAAATTATGTGGGAAAGTCACATTTAAGAAATGTCTTTCGGGGTCAGCACTCACCACCCAGTCCCGGACCGACAAAAGCATTCTCTTTATTACTACCAGAGGACGAATGGCATCTAAGCACACCACTGCTAACTGCTATGATTGGAAGACTGCAAAAGTTAAACAATATTCATATTTCAATTGTTATTTCAGCTTTTAGCAAGTTTTTATACTGTAAGTATACTATTCAAGTTGTCCTGATTTCAGCTGAAATGCTAAGTTGCACAGAATGAGGTCTACAATAAAACAAATACGGTACAGGTACAAATGCAGTGCTGTAACCAATGATGTCTTTGATAATCTAGCGGTTATTCATTGAACTGATCTCTTAGTTTTGCAATTGTATCTACATTTTATTCAGAAAAGGCTATAATTGATTATATTCCCAGACAAAATATTAAAGTTAAAAAAATTAACGCAGTTATCATGTCATCAATTATCAAAACTAGTTGTGATTCATCGATGAATCGTTAGAGGCCAAAACATGGGCCAGAATTGGATACATTGCTGACAATTGTGCTTCCTACGGAGGATGCAACAATTCAGTGCAACTAAAAAAAAGGATTCAGTAAGACTCAATCAGGCATTTGTCTGGGGACAAATGGACCAATTTTGAGTTGCCCGTGAACCCAGAATTTGGGGCAACTGCACCTAGCTGAAATCTCAAGGTGCACTATGTTTTTTGTCCAGTCTCTAAGTGTCTTTAACAGTGGTTTACAGCCCAGCAATGGACTTGTGTTGTGTGTATCCATGAATCTGCAACCTTCTATATTAGGTATACCAAGATCACTTAAATAATAAATAAATAAATGAACCCTCAATGTTTTGGGACCTGCAGCTTCCCCAGCTCCCCACTACACCAGCCTTATGGACTAAGGGTACAACTAATTTGGAGCTGCTATCATGTTAACGTGTGGGGTACTATTTCAACACTGGACCTGTGCATCTAAATATAAAACTAAAGGAGCGCCATGTTATGATATCTCCTCTTTGGTTTGGGGCAGGTGGCGCATGAGCAAGCAAATAGTAGAGGCCATCATCTTCGTTGCCCCCTGTCGCCCCCCATGCGTCATATCGTAGTTGACCCCGCCTCCCTCCGTCCCCATACACCTGATTGCGCTCAGAATTAGGCAAGAGTGTATAGCTTACGTGGTTTTAGTCAGAGGAATGACACTTGGGTATGCCATGTGAGCGGGGTATAATGTTCAGGAATGTAGAAGTCATAAATACTGTGTTACTGTAATGAATGACAGAGGGCAATCTCTGGGGAGCCTGTTAAAAACTAAATTCTGATGTGAACCACAGCGATTCAAGTTATTGATATTGGGAAGTTAAAAGCAACTTTAAGTATTCCCAGACGTGTGCGAGCAGGAGACAGGATGACTGGTCTTGGCTGGTCATCAGGGGCTATTTACGTCTACCTAAGATTATGTGAGGCACAGTTTCGGGCACACAAGTAAAATGTGAGATACCTCGGCCGATGCCAGCGACGTCACTTCCATCAAGTTCTCGGCTCGGAAGGCGAACACGGCAGCTGCCAAGACTAGACACGAGGAGACATGGGATATGAATAGGTTGGGTTGGAAAGACGCAAACGTTAGGTAAGGTATGTTTACCGGCCACTATTTCCAAGGAATCATATCCCAGAATGCGGTCCCAGAGGAGCAGGAGCTGATCCGTGGAGAGGTATCCCGAAAAGGCCCGCACCATCCACTTGAAGGCTATGCGTAATCTAGGCCCAAAATAACACAAATGCTATTCATGGAGAATGCTAACATAGAAGACAAGATTAGATTTTTCAAAATAATATTAAAATGTTCTTCTTCTCTTCTTTTTTTTTCACAGTAGACAGTGGTTTTGTCATCTCACCACTAGATGGCAATACTGCATAAACTGTGTGTGTTAAACTGTTGTATGGCTAAAATCGTTACATGTTCTATTCTCTGAGGCATATGAAAGGGACAGTGGAACGTAGGTTAAAGAATAAACTCACGGCTGTGCTTCGATCTGCCGAAGATGGTAAAAGAGTTGTGGCAAATGGGCCTGAAGCAGCCGCTCAAATTGTAGGCACAAAGACACAATACCCTGCAATAGAAAGGTAGGTGAACACAGTATGTCGTGAGCAAAATCATATTTATCTGATTTTTTTCATGTTTTTAAGTATGTTGCTCTGCTATTGAGACACACCCATTGTTATCATAAAACCTGTGCACTTACCGAGGGTGACGAGGATATGGAGTGTAGTCTGAAGAAGTACCGGGTGTACATCTCTCTGAACAAGCTGTAGAGTTTGGATGGCTCATTGTATAAGTAACACAAAGGCGCCACTGCAGCAAAGTAAGTAAAAAAGGGCAATTTGAGTTCAGTAAAAAATGAAAAACAAAGCATGTGTATTCAAAGCAAAATATGCCAGTTCATATTTGCAATATGCTGCAATCTCGCTGCAATCTCACTGCAATTCAAAAAGGTTACAGTAATTGTCTTTCAAAAGAACCACAAAAAGCAAATGCAATCTTACTGCATTCTCTAGGGGCCAGTAAACTACCAACTATTAAGCTCAGTGATTTTTAAACCCAATTTGCCTGTCCAATAAAACATTTACCGGAGCTTGAGATTATCCACTTTGATCCAGGATGAGTGTGCTCCAGTTTGTTTTTCTTCTAGAACCCCTTGTGCCCAGAGACAATAAGATTATGTGTATCTCAGATTGGTCAAAACAAATTAGTTATTTTATAGTTAACAATCTGTACATGTCTCTCCATGGCCTCACCGCATTCAAACCACATTCACTACTACTGTGACATGTTAGTCCCATATGAACACACTCAGACTCTGAAGAGCACAGGGACTGGCCTCCTGCTGGTGCCCACAGTCAGGACTAAACTGGGGAGGCATCATTTCACATTTATTCAGCTAAAATCTAGAACAGTCTTTGTGAAAATGTGAGGCCGGCATCTACTTTGACAAATCCAGGTTGAAAACAGTTCTGTTTAGCTTTGCATACAAGTTAGGATTAGGATATCTTCACTGGTTTTAATGTACTGTTATTATTTATTTGCCTTGTGTATGAACTGTGCTATACAAATAAACTTGCCTTGCCAATCTCATAATTCTTATTATATAATGGAGCATCCTAATAGGGCCCAATATCTGAACCTGAATCAAATGGAATACAACATACTAACCATACATTGAGAAGCCGTGAAAGGGGATTACACCTGTCCAAACAAGGTACAATTATGTCAATGAAAAACCTCAAATGCAATAACATGCTTTTCAAACTGCAGGTTTTCTCATATTAGCTCACCATTGGGAGGATAAATCACAACACACTCTTCTACTCCCATTTTCCCTGCAACATGAGCACATAGTAAACAAGAAAAAAGATGAGATGCATGTGCAGTGTTGAGGTTTTATTCATATGTGGGCTGTAAGGTCAGAGGAGCGACAGGCACTTTGACTGTCCTTGACGATGACGGACAGACGACCAGGGCCTTACCTTCAAGATAGGATCTGGGCGGAGTGGCACTGTTATACTTAAAGTGATCCAAGACAGCAGTGTCACGAGAAAAACACAGCAAAACCTATGGGGGAAAGGTAGATGTACTCAAAAATACACCAAGTAATTATATGTATTTCTTTTTAACAGTCTGAAGGGAACAAATCTGAAGAAAACGTGAACAATGTAAATAATCTTATGAAGGTTATTTATTCTTCCTCACAAGATGCATATTCAAGTGGCCCCCATTCTGCATTACTGTTCCATTTCTGTACTCTTCAAGAAGCAATGTGATTTCCACCAGCCACTTATGATGTATATTATACGGAGGAAAATTATCAGACTTTGTCTCAAAATGAAACTGGTGGCCATACTTGTCGTGGAGGGGAGGGTATTCATATCATTATAGAAATTAAACATGGGATTTCTGGTTTATAATGACACATTTTTTAAATCAGTGTGTGGATTTAGGTGAGCAGATCTCCACCAAAGCACTAGTCTTGTACAATACATACTTTCAGACAAATCAATGTTTTCTCCAAGAAGCAGTTTTTATCCTTCTAGATGGCGATGAATAAAGACTATAGTAAAGTTCTTTGACTGCATTCTACATTATAAACATTAGGGGTGGGAACCTAAGGGTACCTCACGATACGATACGATACACAATGCAAAGCTCACTATAACAATATTATCACGATAACAATATTATCACGATAACAATATTATCACGATAACAATATTATCACGATAACAATATTATCAAGATAACAATATTATCACGATAACGATTTTATCACGATATGACGATTATCGATTATTGGTCAGAAATATACAATATGCCAATTTATGGCATAAATAAAAGAAAAAATACACTTTATTTCAAGATAAATGGAACGGAGATGCGTAATGTAGCCATATATTAAGTATGGATACCAATTATTTTTTTAAATTGTAAAAAAAAATATATATATATATATATATATATATATATATATATTTTTTTTTTTTCTAAATTGATATCGATACTTGGCAAATGCATATCGATAAACAAATCGCAGGAGAAAGTATCGCGATATATCGAAAAATTGATATATCGTCACACCCCTAATAAACATACTGCATTATACCATTTACTTCTGTTCCTCACAGAAATCTAACGTCAGAACAACCATTGTTTCAATAAAACGCACTCTGTTATTCCTCTACAATTCTCCTATTGACGCAGGAGGGTTCTGTTTCGGTCTGTTTCCATTGTTTAACCGTTTAATTATTTCTGCTTTGAGTAACTACACAAAGCTATGTAAAATGAATGCATGCTGCACTTAAGTAATTAAGTATATTTTAATTTATAGAAGTTCACTTACCATGTAAAATAAATATGTACCACATTATTATTATCATTACCGCTTTACTTTTATTCAATCCATTGCATACATTTAAATGTGTGTGCCACATTTAATATAGCATGCCCTTCACCACCATCCAAACACGGGTAGATAACACTAGGTGTTATGCATCTACTCCCACGCTAAGTCAAGGGATCATAGATTGTAAAATAGGGGACTAACTGAGTGTGACATCACCCATAGTGTTTAATCTAATTTGAGCTAGTTCTGACAAGCTTCAAGGCCAAATGGTCTCATAGCAACCTGATAGTAACAAAAGTCAGGATTTTCCTTTCCCACTCATGCTGAATAGTAATAAGACTCAGAAAACCAACAAATTCATTTTGACTTTTTATATAGGATGAACTTCCACATGGTCTGAGAGTGTCGGTCTGAGACAGTGGTCGGTGGTCTCTCCTTATGTCGTGCCTGCTGCTCCGCTCTCTCCTGTTTCTTCATTTAAATAACATCTTGGCTCGGACTTGGGGGCAAAGGGTTCTCTCGGTGGGGATACACTTTTAGACTAAGTGGACTGCAGTTTGATAATGGCTTCAGTCTTTGCTCAAAGTCACACAGGTTCACAAGTTCACTACAAGGGCAGCTGTTTAAGCACCAGGAGAGTGTAGCAGACCGCACCAGTCACAGTCAGTATGGAGCTGCATGCAAAGTGGAGCTTAAAGTGATAATGATTCAGGATTTTTTGACTGGTTCATTTCACCCACGTTAACAGCAACAATTAGCAATGCAAACTTCATGCGTTTAAGTGTCCAGCCCTAAGATTATATTTCTTTCTATAAATATGAGTGTAGTCGAATGTAACCAATATCGTAAAAACAAAAAATATTGTAGTTTCTTTGAGACAATTATTAAAAAAGAAAAGCAGACAGACAGAAATAGAAAAAAGACACATACTAACGCAACAGCTCCATGTACCTGATACAGGAAGTCCTCAAAGACAAAGTAGTAGTCATCATTGCTGGCTGTGAGTTTGACATCCTGTAAGAGCAGAACATGTTATCTCTGAAGCACATCAACTCTGTAGAGAAATGAGCCAATTACAATGAACTGTCAGATCTTGCCTTGTAGATGAGGTTGTCCACCAACAGGTCATGATGGATGACTCCAGCCTTCAGCTGCTCATAGTACATCACATCCTGAAAAAACACTACAGTTAAGTACAAAAGAACGACACTAAACACTCAACTAATAACCTGTGCAAATGACATACAAATGATTGTCTCTAGAGCCAGGTTAGCGCATAATCAAGATTTAACTCACCAATCTGAATTGAATATTTAGCTCTTTTATATTTCATGCATGTATGTACAAATGTACTAATAATCCTATTAGAACAGCAGTTAAATGAAGCTGAAGCAGCGTTCTTGACAGTAATGACAGCAGAACTAAACCAGTGCTAACAGATGGATGTTGTGTTTCCGACAGCATGGTTAAACTCTGTGCGTCTCCGGCAGTCACAGACAGGTGGTTACAGATGAGCCTCTAGAGCGAGAGGATGGAGCGGTGAAAGTGTCCTGTTAGACATGTGAGCCACCGCCTGGAAGTGATCAGCTCTGCAGACACTCTCAGTGCTGTCCTGACAGACAACACTCACACACCGCTTTAAAAATGTATGTGGTACTAAACCTGGCTGATTCAGGGTGTCATTACCCAAAGGACATTGCCATTCGCATTCAAGCATTATTAAGTTCAAGCTTTTCTCAATTATACATTTTCTGTAATACGAGTCCAGTTGCTTCTCACTGCAATACTCTGCATTTATAGAGCCTGACTGAACATCCCTGCTCCCATCTCTGCTCAGTGTAAGCGCCTTGGCCACAACAGGGACAGGGAACTCCATTGTACTTTAAACAAACCGGGCAATACCACCACTGTTCAGGAGGCGCAATGATGAGCTCAGATAAACAACATCAGGGGATCACACAAAGAGCTCAGTATGCACCCTGTTCCACAAACAGTGTATGTTATAGTTAAATAATTAATGGAGAATAAAAATAAGCAAGGCTTTGTATAAATACTAAATGTTTATTTATATATATATATTAAATTCATATTCTGGGTCTGGTCACATTGAAATAAAACATTTCTGGTTTAGAAAAAGGTTCCCAAATAAGCTGTTTAGGAGAATGCTTGTGTTATTAAATCAATATTAAAAGGTTTAGTTAAAAGTAAAAAAGGTGAGTGCTGCAGAGGGTACGTGTGGTAGAAGGCAATAAAAAACAGGTGCTCTTCGAAGACGGGGCAATCTAAGCATGTAGAAAGTCAGAAGAGAACAAAGGTAGTCTGAGGAACTCTGTTTTAGTGAAAAAATTAAAAGTCCTTTAATGAATTGGACTGCCTACGCGTTTCGACCAACAGCGGTCTTCGTCAGGGCATGAAAGGTTTGTTGGGACTGTCAACGGGCATGTGGGATCGCTTTTAACCAAGTGTAAAGCACTTGTGTTTAAAATCACTTTACATGAAAAGCACTTTAAAAATACAATTTGATTGATGGTCATTTTTATAAACAGTAATTTAAATTGAATAAATGCCATCCATCCATCCATTTTCTACCCTTTAATCCATTTCTGGGTCAGGGGGGTGGCAGTCAGAGATGCCACCCAAGTCTCATAGCACCAGCCCCTCACTGACCCTCTGCAGGTGGTGAGTCCACAGGAGGACGGCTGCTCTCTGAGTGTGAGCATAGCCTTGATCTTTCAGCGGGGGCTTTGGGCAAAGTGGGGTTAAGTGTCTTGCCCAAGGACACAACGACAGCAGTCATCAGTGGGAGTCGGTGGAGAAGGTGCAGAAGTGGGAATTGAACCCACGACCTTCTGGCCTTAAGGCCAATGCTCTACCAACTGAGCTACTGTTGCCCCAAAATTGAATAAATGTATCGGTTAAATCCCTGATATTTGTAGTGTTTGTATAGAAATTGATTATAGAAATTGGGTTTTACCCTCTATCCTTGCCAGATGTGACATTTAATTTCTCCTGTCTATCATATCTTAAACTTATCTTATCTTAAACATAAGATGTTTTTTTAATTGTCCCATAAATAGATTACAAATGTCTCATTTAATTATTCATTCATTGAATGAATGAATGTGTCTTGAAAATGACCATAACATTGTCAACCAGGATGTCTTTGAAGGGGTAACAGTCACAGTTTAAAGGGGTAGATTGTTGTGCTTTTGCTTTCACTGGTTTTATAATGTAACTTTGTCGTCTGTGCCTTGTAGAGCACACACACATGGGGCTCCTCCGGTTACTTACTGATGTGGTCCACCTGCTGCTGTTTAGGTAGAGACCATATCAGCATATCATGAACCTGTCGGTGTGTGTTGGGTATGTTCTAGTTGGTTTTTGGTTTTGGAAAAAAAAAAAGACAACAAACAACATAGCCATTGGTTTTGTAATAAAAAAAGAATAATTAAAAAAAGAATCATCAATAACACTTCAGAAAATGCCAAAGTTAATCCTGTGTCTGGGGACGTCAATAAATAATGTATATGTAATTGACGAACAATTACATACTGTTGCTTTAAAGTTTTACAAGCTGCCATATTTCTAAAATGTTTTGGTGGATCTTTAAGAGACCAGTTACCCAGCATCATTAAACACTTTTAAATGTGTGTCAAAGGGCTCAGGAAAGCCTCACTTTGGGAATAACAGCAGCTGTACGTCTGCACAGGTCTCAGACAAATGACAAGTGACAGGCTGCCCTGGAGGGAGAGGTGAACCCCCACACTCTCACACACACAGGAGGAGGGGAATACCTGTGGTTGGTTTGTGCAGTTGAGGATGAGGGCCCACAGGTCTGCTCGGAGCCCAGTGGGACATCCCTTCCTGCTGTACTGCTGCGCTGCTGCACTGTCCTGCTCCTCCACGACTGCACAGAAAACATGCGAATGTACAAGCACACACATATATTATTTATTCACTCAGAAGGTGTGGCACGAACCCAGGAGACACCAAGGCCCTGTGTACTGTGCAATGTTTGCCATAATAAGAAGCAAATAAAAAGTATCACTGTGTATTCCAAGCATCTGTACACGTTAGCAACAGTATATTTACATCTGCACACGTTAGCAGTAGTATATTTACATCTGTACATGTTAGCAGCAGTATATTTACATGTGTACAAGTTAGCAGCAGCAGGCTCTTGGACACAGTGACTCAATAGAGCAGCAGTGGACACATGCGGTTCTAAGTTGCACCTTCTCACATTATTAAAGTTATTATTGCACAGATGAGCAAGTCAAGTGACAGAGGCACGTGTGGTTCAATATTTCACATTCTGACATTAGTTCAAGATATTGCACCGATGCATGACATGTGAGATCAGGTTGGCAGTGTTCGTTAGTCCTCATTGTTTGTTGTATAGTCTGAGAGCAAGACCTGCAGAACCTATGATTCACACAGCGAGGATGAATAACTGTCACTGAAACTGCTCTCCAGGTAGTACAAATGAACATTTTTAATGCATTCCCACAACCCAAATTATTAATACATAACTTTCCAAACATCACACTTAGAAATACTGAGAAATTACCAATCCCATTAAATCACAAATGTGAAAACACGCTGTCATTGATTTCAGATGCTGGGCAGTTGTAACATAAACCCACATTCCTTGTAGATTTCCTATTTGGGAGCTTTATGCCTTTGGCCTGGAACAGCAGGAGGCTGAGTTTAATTTTTAGGAGGAATAAACCCAATGTTTACACCAGTGTAATAGCACAGTGCTGAGTCAAAGAGCTGTCTGCCCAGTTCATCCAGCGAATTCATTATTATCATTATTCAATTTAATTATGTTGTTCCCTTGTTCAAATCATTTTTTAGATTAACAATACAATGTAGCAATTAATATCCAGAAAACAAATATGATAACTTCCTAAATCCAATGAGGTGTCCAAAGAACCAACTACATGCAAATGTGTAATGTGAGTTTCAAATCAAGGTAGGATTATCTCCAGGTGAATGGAGATTTATGAAGGTTTATTAACAAGACAAAACAAATGTCTAACACCTGCTCTGAGAGAGAGAGAGAGAGAGAGAGAGAGAGAGAGAGTCTTACCTTTCTTCCCAATTCGAACATATTCGTTCTCAAACATGTCTTCATGGCACCAAAGAGACACAAACACAATAATCTGATTAGTTTTGTAAATTCATCTCATCTCTAGGAGTTTAAAACACAAACGAACTGAATAAGAATCTATTTAAAGAGACAATAATACTGTCAATTTCCGAACTTAACAGAGATAGTGTTTGAGGAAAGCCAGGCCGACGCAAAGCACAGGAGCGGAAAAGGCAGATATGTGCACAATATACTCAGTCCACAATTAACATGGCAAGATTTATGATACTAATAATAAGCATGAAAGTTTAAATACTTCATGGAGTCTGCTCTGAATAGCCTCGAGAAAACATTAATTACAGCCCTTGCCTCGCGAAAAACTATTCTAACAAAATTGCCAAAATATCAAATTACGGCCACAACATAATTGTTTTAGGGAGATTTTATACCTGGGTGAATGTGAGCGTGATCATCGATCCCCAACTGACCGGAGTTCAGGTTCAGTTCTGAAAAGGCCAGTCTCTGAAAAGATACGCTTTTAAATTCCAAAAATAGATTCCAAATAAATAAATGAAAATAAAAGTACCAGCTTGGGGACGTTCCGGACATTGAGGGGCACCTGGATCAGACCCCAGTGGCTCCTCACATTCACCCCCTCACTGCTGTCATGGTTGGGATTTCTCAGGCTGACCACCACCTGATATAATTATAATACTATTTTCAGTTTATGCAATAAAAAATAACTAAGTAGGCCAACAAGATTTCTTTTGCTGATTGTTTAGATTTGATGCTGACACTGTGTCGATCTGATATTATTCAAATAATGTATGATTTGGTGTTTTTTTTATTGTACATGAGCTACAGATTCTTGCTTGAAAGCCTTGGAAGAACTTCTTAGCTTAACTTGAATTTATGTGAGCGCATGGGAAGCACCTGTATAAACCACTGTGTGGCTGTTTGTAGCAAGTGTCAAGATTAGAACATGAATTGATTTCTAAAGATAATCAACAATGGAATACTTACCTCCAGAAAGTCTTTGGGAGCATAGACAGGTCTGAAGCGACTCAAATCTGTAACAAGAAATATCTCCAATATAGTTTACATAAACACTGATTGTTTACATCGGGAACTCTAAGACAGATGGTACAGCTCTTATATCTAGACTATACAAATGTGTTGAGACATGCGGAACACTTTATCACTTGTGTATCAAGAACAATGTCTTCTTGTGGTCAAAGGGGTGGCTAAGTAGGGCTTTATGCACTGTAAGCTTTCTCTAAGTGGGACTTCCAGAGCCCTGCTGTAAATCGGCGTAGCGTGTCAGCCGTATATAAGGTCAGAATCAGGTTTAGACAGAAGGAAGGGTGCTACTCTGTCCAAGACGTCTGGACAGGCTCGAGATAGAAAAAGTCAGTGTTTACAGTCATCCGACGGCACAGAGCACACTGTTATTGCAAAGAGTGATAGTGCTGTTTGGATCTGTGGGATACCATGCTCTTTGTAATATATTTACCTAGTGATTACCCATGAAAGATAAAGATGCATAACAATTTATGCAACTGATCCTTGTACAATGAAATTTGCTAGGCAACCACAGGTCAACATAATCTGAACTTTCTTCAAGGTTTAGAATGTAAAATGTTGCTTCCAATGACAGCCACCGTTTGCATGGCAAGTGTGTTGGCAATGGCCATTCTATCCAAATATGGCAATAGCCCACATCAAATCAAATAGCAAGAAATCAAAATAAAGTATATAGTTGCTTGTTCATAACGACTAGATAATTCATGACATGAAATATGTACACTAATATGAAAGGATGAGGTGAAACATTTTGGGAGAAAGAAGAATTTCAATGTTTAAGGTGCAAACTTGCTTAGAACATTCTAGCTTCCACATCCTCTTACATCTACTACACTACATCTACACTGTTCAACATTATATTATGCTGCCTCCCCCAAGTCTGCCCTCTCCAATGTTCTGTTCATCATTTTTATGGCCGATAATTCCGATTTCTGATGGAGTCTGGTTTGGGAAGCACAAGATGTCATTACTGCTGTCTGGAGATGATGATGTCTTGTTGGCTGGAGTGTGAAGTGGCTGAAGTGAATCCAAATCCGAGGCCATGAAAGTAAGTGAGTATCGCTGTATTGGACTGTTGTCGTTAAGAGGGAGCTTTGATTTACGGTCAGTCTCCATTCCCATCCTCGCCAATGGTCATGCATGAGCTTTGGATAATGACCGAAAAGACATATTTCCTCTGCCGAGTTGGATTGCTCCCTTATAGATAGGGTCAGACTGCTGACTCTGCGATCCGGCAATGGATAAAGTGTAAAAGATAGATGTATGGACTTTAAACAGCCCTGTGTGTGTGACTGATGTCCAAAGTCAATGACAATCCTTCACTGCACAAACCCTTGAGCTCTGGGTTCAGACCTGGTTCATCTGTGCCCATCTCGTTCCATTTGTTGGTCAGCTCCTTCTGCTCCACTGCAGGCCTCTGTGTGGGTGGAACGACAAGGAATTCAATAAACAGATGCTTTGAAGTCAAAACAAATCATAAAATTGGGTTCAAAACACAAAATGTTCTTTGCAACAAATTCATAAACACTCTCATAACTATTACTCCGGGTGGATTCTTCCAAAAAATGTCACCGCTGTTAAAGTCAGTATTTCAATATATGTTTAATAATGTACCATCAACAAAAGAGAATGCTCTGATATGTTTAATTCCAGAGGGCATTTTCATGTTTTACACAGCAACTGATAGAGAATTCAAAACACGTTTTTTTTGTTTTTTTTTTGTTTTTAAGTGATATATAAAACAGGAGCTGAGTCCACTACTCAAAAATTTTTGCACAAGAAAACAAAACGGTCAGTAAACATAAAGTTACCATTCGAGCCAGTGGTACTCCCAGCTCGGTGCTCATACTGTTGAGGCTTTTGAAGACACGTTTCTCCCAGCTGGCCTGTGGGAAGCACACCATACAGACGCTTCATTATAGATACTCACACAGTCAAAAGAACTGGATCTGATCTGATTTGCAGCAATTAACTGTTACAATATTTCAACTGAAAAAATATAAGGCAAGAAAGTCATTTTGATTATGACAGTATAGTCTAGATTAATATTATAAGGGCATTGTTTTAAGGATGCACAGCTGTTTAAGAGTGGACATTGATGAAGTTTTAATTAATTTGAGCAAAAATGTATTTAGTTTTGGCAAGATTTGAAAAATAAAACAAAATCCTCACCAGTTTTCATAATCCTCACAATAAAGTGCAGCTGATTCAGTTTCCTCTTCCTCTCTACTTCAAAAATGGCTACTGCAGAATTATTTTTGTCTAGCACTAATTCACAACAGCAGTGGTCTTGGAGGAATTTACAAAGTTGTTGATTCGCCACAAATAGATCAGAGAATCAAACAGTTTGAACACAGGAAATGCGTTAATAACAAACACATAGTTGCCATTGGTCCATAGGGAGCTGGATGACCACTGTCCACAAATGCTGAATCTCCCATTGAACGAAACATCATTGAAATAATAATGTAGCCACTGTCTACTGGCTATATATGGAGGCTTCTGAATAAATGTGCAGTGTTTGTAGTGAGGTGACAAATCCAGAGAGAAGAAGGCAGTGATGAGGATGTGAGTGGACAGACTGACTGACCTGGGCCTTGCGCATGTAGGCCAGTGGCTCTTTCAGGTGGTCTGGGGGGGCTGCAGGGTGACAGGGGGGCTGCTGCCTGGAGGAAGCATAAACATGACATATAGGGAGGTGTCAATCAAGATGACTTATACGATGAAACACATCTGTGCAGACAGAGGGGCAATTATTACTCTGTTATACAATTTGTTTTTATACTGAATAAACTGAATCTGAATCTGAATCATTGCATTCACCATTTTGTGACAATTCAATAAACAAACACCAAAAGCGTGAAATTTGGATACAAATAAAAAATATTTTGAAATTTCCCCACTGTGGAACGAATAAAGGCTCTCTTAATCTTAATCTTAATCTTAAAAACACCCAGAAGTGACATAATCTATAAGCATGCTTCAGACATGAATGAGTAAGGGCTCTCGGGCCTTAAACAACATTTAGAGTAATGTAAACAAGTATGAGATCACAAAGAGCTGACTAATGGAAAACGGAGACATGCATTAGTCAGATATCTGCTTTAAAAGCAGTGCATTAAGGACCAGTCTCAAGAGAGCGCAGGTAAGAAGAGCACAGTGCTTTACTTCACTGAAGAGGGAACAATGGGCCTCATTCACGAACGGTTCTTAGGAACAGATTTGTACGTAAATCCTACTTACGAGAGTGGCATTCACGAATTTTTCTCGTAACCAGAATTTCTCTTGGGCAAGTACAAATCCTACGAGTCCTCAGGAGCACTCGTACACATTCAGTGCCGACATGTTCACACGCCGGGGTTATCCTCTTTGGTGAAGTTTAATAAAAATACAACATTCCAGTGATATTTCCGTCATATCGATGTATGTATTTATTTATTTGTAGTAATCTTTATTAGTAATCTTTATTTATATACCGCCTTTTTCACTGCAGATCTGGCCTACTTTTTAATTCATTTTGAAATGAAATGTGCCAACGCTTTATCAAATACATTGGAAATCTTGCCGTGTATTAGTGACCCCTTCCTATTTATAGGGGGCATTTCTTTATCCACGGGCCACAGAACAACGGCATATATACTGCTGCTGCAGGAGGTTACTGGGTCCGCGCTGGTCTCTCCCATGGATCTATACGGGTCTGCACTGGTCTCTCCCATGGATCTATACGGGTCTGCACTGGTCTCTCCCATGGATCTATACAGGTCTGCACTGGTCTCTCCCATGGATCTATACGGGTCTGCACTGGTCTCTCCCATGGCTCTAGACGGGTCTGCACTGGTCTCTCCATACGGGTCCGTGCTGCATGCTCCTGGATCCATACGGGTCCGCGCTGGTCTCTCAAGTCTGGTCTATGCGGTCTCTCTTCGGTCCGCGCTGGTCTCTGCGCACCGGTCTCTCCAGTCAGGTCACTCCAGTCTATGCGGTCTCTCCTATAGGTCCGCGCTGGTTTCTGTGTGCTGGTCACTCCAGTCTCTCCTCGGGTCTGCATTGGTCTCAGCGCTGGTCCGCGCTGGATCTCCTCCCAGGGTCCAAAATATTTTGAGATTAATCTCAAAACATTTTGAGATTCATCTTTAAAATAATACACAATATATTTTTAAATTAAACTCATAACATTTTGAGATTATTCTCATCATATTCTTAGATTAATCTCATAATGACTCCCACTGATGACTGCTGTCGTTGTGTCCTTGGGCAAGACACTTAACCCCAATTTGCCCAAAGCCCCCACTGAAAGATCAAGGCTATGCTCACACTCAGAGAGCAGCCGTCCTCCTGTGGACTCACCACCTGCAGAGGGTCAGTGAGGGGCTGGTGCTATGAGACTTGGGTGGCATCTCTGATTGCCACCCCCCTGACCCAGAAATGGATTAAAGGGTAGAAAATGGATGGATGGATGGATGGATAATCTCATAATTTTGCTAGTTCGACTTTATTCTCATAATATTTCGACTTTTAAGTCAACATTTTATAACTTTATTCTCAGTCTGGCAAAAGAAGAAAAAAGGGTGACTCTTTTGCTCCGTGTAACTCTTTGCTTTAGTTCTGTTGCTGTTTCCTCTGCCGTCTGCACACGGCCCTGCAGTCCCTTATATGGGCATTATTGGGCGGTTACTTATGCTAAGTACCTATGCTAATGAAGCACCGGGTACGCGCGCTCTACTTACGAGGAGTTGGCATTCATCAATCTGAGAGAACAGCTGCGAACAATTCAGCGGCTTACGAGTGCGTTGATGAATCCCACGTAGGGACTTCTTAGAAATCTACTTAAGGACAACTTGAGAAGAAATTTGAGAAGTTTCTTACGAAGTTATTCGTGAATGAGGCCCAATGTCTTTTCACCAACAAAAGGGTTTTCAGAACAACTCACATGACACATGAGTAGAGCTCAAACATATAAATGCGGAGAACTCCCACCAAGCCAATGAATGGTGGTATTACTCAGCTTGAGTTACTGTTCACACAGACATATTCTGAAAAATCAGTATGAGTGTTCAATAAAAGTACTGTTCCACCGTCCACGTCTCCTGTATAGATATTTAATTTGTTTTCAACATACATAAATACGTAAGGATTAGTTGGAAGTTGAAACCTCAAGGCAGGTCTAATGCCTCGCTCTTTCTGCTCCCCCTCCCCGCACTGAATGTTGCAGCTGTATTTGCAAGTTTAGCTCTCCGGATTGTAACCTTGGGATCATTTGCATCTTTGTCCCACAATCACACTCACAATCTCACTCATTCACCCTGAACTATTTCATCTTTTTTTATGGTAGGAACAACCAGAGCCAGAGGAAACCAATTAAGCCACAGGGAGAACATGCAAACTCCACAAAGAAAGGCACTGTCTGGGTGTAGAATTAAACTCAGGAGATACTTGCTGTTAAGCACAAATGTTATCCACTGTGCCACACTGTATAAAATCATCTGCTAACCTGAAAATCTGTACATGTAAACGAATAATCTGACAATTGTGTATACAGGGCAGTACATGGATGTGTTGAGTGTGGCTTACACGTGGAGCTCCCTGTACACTGCATTCTGAAGTCTTCTTTCCCAGCCTGTATGGAGTAAATGAGACATTAAACAATGACATATTTATTATCATAGCTATTACTTTTTCAACGGCCCATTTCTGGTCCCAGTAAAAAATATCAGGTTAAAAGTACAAATTATAGGTACACTGCATTTTTAAATTGGGTTAAAAGTATTATATTTTCAGAATGGCTTCTCTGCGACAACCTGATTTAGTCCTGGTTTAGAACTGATTTAGTACAGGTTTAGACTTGATTTAGTCCTGGTTTAGCTGCAAATGAGACGTTAAACAATGACACATTTATTATCATAACTATTACTATTTCAACGTCCCACACCTGTTGTTTTCAGGAAATTGCGTACGTCGTCTTTAAGTGACTCCAGTTTTATTTCAGGTCGGTGTAAACATTCCTAAGAAAATATCAAATACAGAAGTTACAGCAGCTCCTGCATTTAGCTAGTTCCGAAGATAATAATAGCAATGTCATTAACTAGCTATACTTAACATAACATTAACAGAATATCATTACCATTACACGCGTAGAAATGTATAACATTAACATCACACATGTAGGTTAGACATAACACTGACAGGAGACAGGAAGCAGCACTTTACTGATGGACATGCACCTGCTCTTAGCCACATGCTAACGCTGACGCTAACTTACTTTGGCTTGTCGCTCTATCTGCGAGTGTAAATGACTTCCTTTCAGGCGTTGCACAATTTCTGCAATAGTCAAGGACAACTCGGTGCCTTCAGTCATTGTTTTCAGTAACACAGTTGTTGTACTTAAGTGTTTTTTAATCGCTACAGTACGTTTTCAAAGGTCCAACATCCAGCAGCACCCTGCACAAGTTACCTAGCAACGAGTCCGGCGGAAACATTATTGAACATTAGTTCCTGTGAAAATTGGTTCCGGTCTTATTTATCTTTGGATTGACATAATTTTACATTCAAGACTGAATTATTTGTCCCGAGAAAGAAAAGAGTTTTATCATCAACATGGATAACATATCTGCAATGTGTTGGAGGGTGATTTAGCAGATTATAGGTTACATAATATGAATGGAATCCCACACAGCAAGTCAAGACAATGTGCAAGCCTAAAGTTGTTTTATACTGCTCCTTATGGATGACTATATCGTGATAGCAGATGTAGCTCTCACTTCTCTTGGGCTAAAGCATTGGGGTAGGGTGAAAGCTCATTAGCTATGATTTCCATACAGACTAGGAAATGGTTCTACAACCTCCAGTAGTATTCTGTTTATTGTAGGTTATAGTATTTGTTTATGGAAATAAACCTCTCTCCCATGCAAGCATAAACAAAACAATCTGAAATTTCCCCACGTGGGACTAATAAAGGCATTCATTCAAAAACAGCTTTCACTAAAAATCTGGCGTTGGTTATAGATTGTCTATACCAGGGAGGTCGCACAGATGTGCAAAAAAATGTATGACAAAAAAAAGGCCTATGTTTTATCCTAATTTCCATCGCACCTACAACATTGACTCATGGTTTAGGGCTTTTCTGTTGGAGAAATATCTTCAAACACTGTGAGAGTCATTGTTTGAGCGATTGAAAGTTGATAACAGCCACATCGTTCCTTTGGCTGTATTTTGTTTTTCATTTTTCATCTGCTATCCTGCCTGTATTTACTGTCCTTGTGAGCAGGCAGCAGATGCAGCAGATGCAGCAGATGCACAGATACACAGATACACAGATGCAGCAGATACACAGATGCAGCAGATATAGATGCAGCAGATACACAGATGCAGCAGATGCACAGATGCAGCAGATACACAGATGCAGCAGATGCACAGATGCAGCAGATACACAGATGCAGCAGATGCACAGATGCAGCAGTTGCACAGATACAGCAGATGTACAGATGCACAGATGCTGACTCTCATGTATGCTGAGGGCTGAACTAAAGGCGGGAGCGCTCCTTCCACACGCTGTCACTGTCACACACAGAGCAGGACGCACTGCACACGAGCGCGCAGACAACCTGACGCACACAACACACGCGCGCTGGTCTTCAAAGACATCTACTTTTTAAAGTCGTCAAACAAGAGTCTCATAGTATGCATTCTGTGAGTAGAATGTGACGGTTTTATTTCAATCTCAGCATCTGGTTTTGCATGTTGCTGAATGAAGAGGACGCGACATGGAGACTTTTACAATCCAAGACATGCTCGTCAATTCTACCGATCTGAATAAGATTTTGTGTAGTTTTGGAATCAAGAATATTTCAGATTGTGAGCGCGAAGAGGACTCTTCACCCGAACCTAAAGGTAAATAACTTTTGTTCTGTTTATTCTTTAGAATAGCCTTGGCTTTGTTGCCTGATATTTCCCCTCCTTATTCCAAGATGCATTGGTTTGAGTCTAATTTGATCCAAAAGAGAATTATGCTTTGGGCATGTCTGCGCCAGCGCGCATTACGCACATGACTATTGTGGTGTGTGTGTCTATGGACACTCTGAGTACTGTAGAAGGCTACTCAGGATGATACAAGGGCAGCGCGCTGTTATACAAGTTATAAAGGGAGACAGGTTCAAACATTTGAGTGGCCCAGAGAAGAAGCAACACGTTTAGATTACATTCAGATGCAAACATGTCTCTCCATGTGTAGCTCCATAGGAAATGGGCTTCAACATGGCCTCAAAAAATGTATGTCTGCTATGTTTTCCCATTTGGTTGTGTATTCTTGGTGCATTTATTTGTTTTAAGGCACCTAGACATGCTAAATATAACTATTCAATATAACTATGTATTATAACTATTATGTCAGCGTTAACAAAATGATAATAATTATCATGGGCACCCATACACATATACTGACATTGCCCTCTTCTTGCCAGAAACCAAAGTCTGCATTGTTAAATTCTATGCTCGTCTTGTACATCTCCATAAAGCCTCAAGAGCTCCATGACTCCCTTATTTGGAGGGTGTTGTAAATATTGAAGATCTAATTCACATTCACTGAAGCAACAGCCCATTTCACTTGTAGGCATAATATGTAAAAAGAAAATCCTTTTAAATGTGTTATACAGGTTGCAGAAGATCACAGCTTTAAACTATTTTTACAGAATGTTCATATCCATTGTTTCTTTTACCAAAGGTGCATTTCCGCTCTGTTTCCTGAGCTCGTCACTCTGTTTCCCTGACCTTTCCACACTCATTAAACTCATCTATCTTTCTATCTAATATTGCATTTTACACGTTCTCCCATGTTAAGTTTGTGTTTTTATGTCCACTATGGAAAAGAACTGCTCTGTCCAGAAGATAATACTTAGTCCATCAAGGTTTACAAATAATAAAATATTGATCAGAGAGACAAGATATAGACAGTTAGCTTTTTTGTAATAGATTTTAAGGAAAAATTCCATGTTAACGATTTATGAATGAGATCAACAATGTGTTACTCGATCAGGGATTATCACTGTTGGTCTCTGAATTGGTTTGTGCTCTGAATAAATCAGTAATAACAAAAAGAGTAATGATTTTTTTTTTTTTTTTAAAGAGCATTAATCAGCAGGTGTTGTGCCTTCAGTTGTTGTTGTCCAGATTTGGATGGTTGCCAACATGAGGCCATGAACTTGGGTGTGGCGTCTGTATATGATAGGGACGCGCAACGGGGACTATTCCAAAGGAACAATCGATGAGTCCGTGTTTTATTTTACCAATAGTTTGAATGACCTCAGGTGTGAATACCAGGCACAGTACGATGGTTAAAATGAATTGAAATGAAAACAAAATAAAACATTTTGTCGTCCCAATTTGCCAATTACAAAGACTGTAGCTATTTCTTTGTTTTTGTCATTAAAAAAGGTCTAAAAATAACCAAATTATTACTTGATGAAGTACAAGAAGTACAACTAAAACAGGATCTAAAAATGGAAACCATGACAGTACCCTCCATTCAAGGGACAGCTCCCATGATACCCCAAAAATAACGAGTCCTGTAGGGCGGGAACAGAGGAACTTAGGAACTTAGGAACAAGGAACATAGGGATATAGTCTAAATAAAAGCATGACAGGGTTGTTTTGACACGCCAGCCTGTGTCGCTCACTGGGTAAGCAAAGGACGCCTTCCATTTTTTTTTTTTTTTATTCTGGTGTTTTTGGCGCCGTGGGAATGAGGCTTCCAGACATACTAATTGCCATCTGTCGTCTTTCCTCTGTGCAGACATCAACCAGAGCGTTCGGATCGCGCTGTACGGCCTGATCTTCCTGCTTAGCGTGTTGGGAAACAGCCTGATCATCGCCGTCTTGGTGAGGAACAGGCGCATGAGGACCGTCACCAACCTGTTCCTGCTGTCTCTGTCCGTGAGCGACCTGATGGTGTCTCTGGTCTGCATCCCCTTCACCCTCATCCCCAACCTCATGAGGGACTTCATCTTCGGCACCGGCATCTGCAAACTGGTCATGTACTTTATGGGTCAGTCGCCGCACAAACTCAATCTCATCTGTTTTTTTGTTTACTGTGACTCTTTTTCCATAGATCGAAGTATAGAAAAGTCTATGCGAGTCTAGTCTAAGGCAAGGCGAGGTTAATTTGTATCGCACAATTCATACACATGGCAACTCAAAGTGCAGACCAAAACAAGACAGAAACAGCCGCACAAGGGACATAAATAATCACAGTACATTCAAAAGAGAAAGAATGAAGAGCTATACCCTGGTCTTACCATAGTACACATTTTTATTCGTATGAAGGTGGCAGGGTTGTACTCCTTTTAGTAGATTGAAACAAATGGTTCTGAGTTTACCGTGACGTATGTAATTCGCCCGAGTGAGTGAGGCATTTAGCATTTAGCCTCGCTTTAGCATTTATCCTAGCATTAGCCATCTCCTTTGTCACTGACTGAGCCTGTGGGGAGTAGAGCCACAACATCTTTGCCAGCAATGACATTTGATAATTAGGCCCGAGCCCCGAACGGGGTAAGGGCCTATTGCTTTCACAATGGTGAAAACAAATGGTGGCGGTGCGTGACGGACGCGTCAGCGCCCGTCACTCACCAAAACGTGACAGTTGCGTGCGTAAACTCAAAAGCTTTAAAATGATGTATCACATGCCATTGAAACCTATATTGTTTTTGCTCGAGACGTTAAAAAAAAAATTCCTTTTTAGGCCCGAGCCCCGAACGGGGTAAGGGCCTATTGCTTTCACAATGGTGAAAACAAATGGTGGCGGTGCGTGACGGACGCGTCAGCGCCCGTCACTCACCAAAACGTGACGGTTGCGTGCGTAAACTCAAAAGCTTTAAAATGATGTATCACATGCCATTGAAACCTATATTGTTTTTGCTCGAGACGTTAAAAAAAAAATTCCTTTTTTATTTATTAGGCCCGAGCCCCGAACGGGGTAAGGGCCTATTGCTTTCACAATGGTGAAAACAAATGGTGGCGGTGCGTGACGGACGCGTCAGCGCCCGTCACTCACCAAAACGTGACGGTTGCGTGCGTAAACTCAAACGCTTTAAAATGATGAATCACATGCCATTGAAACCTATATTGTTTTTGCTCGAGACAAGTCACAAAAAATTCCTTTTTTATTTATTTATTAGGCCCGAGCCCCGAACGGGGAAAGGGCCTATTGTTTTTGCTCGAGAGATGTCAAATTCTGCACTTTGAGCCTTAATTTCACCCCCTGAACATGCATGAAAAGTTGTAAAATTTTGACCAAACATCAGACCTGGTGAAAAATTTGATATTTTGGTGTTTATTTTTATGGGACTCAAAAAATGCCAGAACAGCGCCACCTACAACAGCCAATGGGAGTTTCAGAGGTCACGTTTGTCGTAGAGCCATGAAATTCGGTACACATGTTCCTCAAGTCAAGATACGACCAAAATGTTATCATGGCTCCGCCCTCTGACAAACAGGAGGCCCATAAATTTCACTGCAAAATGGAAAAATGAACAGCAAAAGTTTTCATACATGTCGGTTGGAAAGCGACTCCTCCTCGGCCGTTTCACCGATTGGCCGCCTTATCACTCCACATTGTCTAAACACATGTACCATCAAAATGACCTCAGGGATTTTTGATCAGTGAAACGTTGTTTGAGCAGCGGAGCGGAAAATGTGAGTGTTTATTGGCCGTTTTTCACAACCTTCTATTTGCTCCCTTTTACACATACAAATTCCGATTTGCACAAAACTTGAATCCATGGTTCAACTCTAGGGTCTAGGTCATTTGAAAGTGAAATAATTGAACTTGGCTCATTAACGCCCCCTACAGACTATTTCAGAGTTTTTAGTATGAAAAACTCTGAAAACTTTGACTCCATCTGTAGGGGCACTAATGAGCCAAGTTCTTTTATTTCACGTTTAATTGACCTAGACCCTAGAGTTAAACAATGTATTAAAGTTTTGTGCAAATCAGACTTTGTATGTGCAAACGGGAGCAAATTTAATATTGTCCAAAACGGCCAAAAAAAGGTCACAATTTGCAGCTCCCCTGTTCGAACAACGTTTCACTGATGAAAAATCGCCAAAATCATTTTCAAGGTACATGTGTTGAGATGATGTGGAGCGATTTTGAGGCGAATCGGTGAAACGGCCGAGGAGGAGTCGCTTTCCAACCGACATGTATGAAAATGATTGCTGTTCATTTTTCCATTTTGCAGTGAAATTTATGGGCTTCCTGTATGTCAGAGGGCGGGGCCATAATAACATTTTTTTCATGTCTTGACTTGAGGAACATGTGTACCGAATTTCATGGCTCTACGACAAACTTGACCTCCGAAAAATCCCATGGGGGTTATTATTAGGCCCGAGCCCCGAACGGGGAAAGGGCCTATTGTTTTTGCTCGAGAGATGTCAAATTCTGCACTTTGAGCCTTAATTTCACCCCCTGAACATGCATGAAAAGTTGTAAAATTTTGACCAAACATCAGACCTGGTGAAAAATTTGATATTTTGGTGTTTATTTTTATGGGACTCAAAAAATGCCAGAACAGCGCCACCTACAACAGCCAATGGGAGTTTCAGAGGTCACGTTTGTCGTAGAGCCATGAAATTCGGTACACATGTTCCTCAAGTCAAGATACGACCGAAATGTTATCATGGCTCCGCCCTCTGACAAACAGGAGGCCCATAAATTTCACTGCAAAATGGAAAAATGAACAGCAAAAGTTTTCATACATGTCGGTTGGAAAGCGACTCCTCCTCGGCCGTTTCACCGATTGGCCGCCTTATCACTCCACATTGTCTAAACACATGTACCATCAAAATGACCTCAGGGATTTTTGATCAGTGAAACGTTGTTTGAGCAGCGGAGCGGCAAAATGTGAGTGTTTATTGGCCGTTTTTCACAACCTTCTATTTGCTCCCGTTTACACATACAAATTCCGATTTGCACAAAACTTGAATCCATGGTTCAACTCTAGGGTCTAGGTCATTTGAAAGTGAAATAATTGAACTTGGCTCATTAACGCCCCCTACAGACTATTTCAGAGTTTTTTGTATGAAAAACTCTGAAAACTTTGACTCCATCTGTAGGGGCACTAATGAGCCAAGTTCTTTTATTTCACTTTTAATTGACCTAGACCCTAGAGTTAAACAATGTATTAAAGTTTTGTGCAAATCAGACTTTGTATGTGCAAACGGGAGCAAATTTAATATTGTCCAAAACGGCCAAAAAAAGGTCACAATTTGCAGCTCCCCTGTTCGAACAACGTTTCACTGATGAAAAATCGCCAAAGTCATTTTCAAGGTACATGTGTTGAGATGATGTGGAGCGATTTTGAGGCGAATCGGTGAAACGGCCGAGGAGGAGTCGCTTTCCAACCGACATGTATGAAAATGATTGCTGTTCATTTTTCCATTTTGCAGTGAAATTTATGGGCTTCCTGTATGTCAGAGGGCGGGGCCATAATAACATTTTTTTCATGTCTTGACTTGAGGAACATGTGTACCGAATTTCATGGCTCTACGACAAACTTGACCTCCGAAAAATCCCATGGGGGTTATTATTAGGCCCGAGCCCCGAACGGGGAAAGGGCCTATTGTTTTTGCTCGAGAGATGTCAAATTCTGCACTTTGAGCCTTAATTTCACCCCCTGAACATGCATGAAAAGTTGTAAAATTTTGACCAAACATCAGACCTGGTGAAAAATTTGATATTTTGGTGTTTATTTTTATGGGACTCAAAAAATGCCAGAACAGCGCCACCTACAACAGCCAATGGGAGTTTCAGAGGTCACGTTTGTCGTAGAGCCATGAAATTCGGTACACATGTTCCTCAAGTCAAGATACGACCGAAATGTTATCATGGCTCCGCCCTCTGACAAACAGGAGGCCCATAAATTTCACTGCAAAATGGAAAAATGAACAGCAAAAGTTTTCATACATGTCGGTTGGAAAGCGACTCCTCCTCGGCCGTTTCACCGATTGGCCTCCATATCACTCCACATTGTCTAAACACATGTACCATCAAAATGACCTCAGGGATTTTTGATCAGTGAAACGTTGTTTGAGCAGCGGAGCGGCAAAATGTGAGTGTTTATTGGCCGTTTTTCACAACCTTCTATTTGCTCCCGTTTACACATACAAATTCCGATTTGCACAAAACTTGAATCCATGGTTCAACTCTAGGGTCTAGGTCATTTGAAAGTGAAATAATTGAACTTGGCTCATTAACGCCCCCTACAGACTATTTCAGAGTTTTTAGTATGAAAAACTCTGAAAACTTTGACTCCATCTGTAGGGGCACTAATGAGCCAAGTTCTTTTATTTCACGTTTAATTGACCTAGACCCTAGAGTTAAACAATGTATTAAAGTTTTGTGCAAATCAGACTTTGTATGTGCAAACGGGAGCAAATTTAATATTGTCCAAAACGGCCAAAAAAAGGTCACAATTTGCAGCTCCCCTGTTCGAACAACGTTTCACTGATGAAAAATCGCCGAAGTCATTTTCAAGGTACATGTGTTGAGATGATGTGGAGCGATTTTGAGGCGAATCGGTGAAACGGCCGAGGAGGAGTCGCTTTCCAACCGACATGTATGAAAAATGATTGCTGTTCATTTTTCCATTTTGCAGTGAAATTTATGGGCTTCCTGTATGTCAGAGGGCGGGGCCATAATAACATTTTTTTCATGTCTTGACTTGAGGAACATGTGTACCGAATTTCATGGCTCTACGACAAACTTGACCTCCGAAAAATCCCATGGGGGTTATTATTAGGCCCGAGCCCCGAACGGGGAAAGGGCCTATTGTTTTTGCTCGAGAGATGTCAAATTCTGCACTTTGAGCCTTAATTTCACCCCCTGAACATGCATGAAAAGTTGTAAAATTTTGACCAAACATCAGACCTGGTGAAAAATTTGATATTTTGGTGTTTATTTTTATGGGACTCAAAAAATGCCAGAACAGCGCCACCTACAACAGCCAATGGGAGTTTCAGAGGTCAAGTTTGTCGTAGAGCCATGAAATTCGGTACACATGTTCCTCAAGTCAAGATACGACCGAAATGTTATCATGGCTCCGCCCTCTGACAAACAGGAGGCCCATAAATTTCACTGCAAAATG